TCTATATTTGCAAAAACCAAGAAGCATTCTATATTAAAGCAAAGCTGACAACTACGAACATTCTGCTGGCTGAGATTGTGCAATTCGAAACACTCTTCTGTATTTTTAGTTTTCTTGCGCATCCCTGCGATCCCTGCATATGCGCATCCCTGCATATGCGCAGAGTCGACACAAATATTGACACAAAATCGCAAATTCGAGAACCCCCTTGTTTGCCTTTCCGAAAAAGGAAGTCCATTATGACACATAAGGACAGAAAAAACAACGCCACTCAACAACTTTTCAAAGAGATAGATAGAAATGATCTACAATATGATCGTGCTCATACAAAACTTCGCAAAAATAGGAAATGTGGTTGCTTGGGACTTGCACGAAGAAACAAAAACATAACCATATTAGAACTGATTAAAAATGATGCAAAACTCACAGTGGACTGTCCGGCTGAGGCCGTCGATCTGCTGGAGCATGATACTCCCACAACCGATTCGCAGCATCATTTCCTATTGCCTGCATGATTGCAAAAAACTCCACTGGCCACGAATCCAGGTCCAGGGAACGTACTCTAAAAATGTCCAATGTTTTTGGGTGATGCTTAGTCGAACTAGAAAAAAAAACATGCTAGCAAGAAAGATTTCGGTCGCATACTTCTAATTCATACTTTTCCCGCGTAAGAAAATCATTTTTATGTCAACAAAGATGGAAAAAGTATATGCCCACATTTCATTATTCATATAACCAATAAGATAACTTTTTTACATTATTTTATCCAATGTGATAAAAGAAAAGAGATTAACCTCGAGATATGCGATCCAAGGTTACGATGCGTACCAGAACATTCGATACAAATCAGAATACCAAGATTGAGGCTTGCCCAATCTGGTGCTGTCTGGCCACAATCAGCACAGCGGTCATTGCCAGGTAATCGACGCAAAGCAAGAACCTGACACAGAACACCATCAAAATCTGATCAAACAAAGAAAACAAAAGTTCAAACCTCCTCTTTGCCACCTTTCGCTCTCGTGCTAGGCTTACTCATTTGATTTTGAAGCGCCTTCTCTATTTGCTCCTCGATAGCAGCTACCCAAGCATCGCGCTCTTCGGCTGCCACACAAAATTCCCAGTGCTTCTGATCAGAGGTTATGATCTGAAAGAATGACGATACTATTCTGCGAAAGGCTGGTATGATCGTGACCTCACACTTTACTACAAAAGCTTGGTAGCCTACTACTGGATTAACTTAATGACTAATTAATGAAAGAAGCATGAAAAAGCAAGAAACAAATCACAAAATTGAATCAATTTTTTAAAGTTCGACAATAAGATATTGCACAAACCTCAAAACACTCGTCATCTTCGTCGGTCGCTTTTCCAGCAGATCCTCCTATTCTTCGATTTCTCAAAGCAACCATCACAGAAAAAAGCAATAAATGTACCAGCATCACTCCTCCTCGGTTCATACGGTCGAA